TTCAATACAGCTCATTTCAGTGAGGTGGACCAGACGCTGGTTCACTCAAGGCAGCTGGTTGCGAGGAAGTATGCCTCTGGCTGGTTGTCCATTGACCTTGCCTCCACAGTGCCCATCGACAAGCTAGTCAGGGACAGAGTAGCGTGGTTTTGATTTAGCTTGAGCGGTAGTTTAAACCTGTAGGTAAATTGTCTGTCAAGCGGGCAGGCAAACGCCGCATTTCGGGCATTCAAGATGGTACGTGCCTTGCGACTCGTTCGGTTGGTCAAGATCCAACAAAAACTGAAGCTAGGGGAGCTTTCTGAACGCCTGGAAGACAGATTTGGAGTAAATCCGGCCCTTTTGAAGCTTGGAAAGCCCCTTGTCGTCATGGGTGCTGTAGCGCATGCATTGACGTGCGTTTTCTTTGCAGCAGCTCGTACCCACAACACAAGTTGGCTGGATCGCATCGATGACGAATCGGACGATGGTGAAAAAATGAAGCGCGAAGAGCGAATAACACAGTATTTAACAACTATGTACTGGGCATTTGCAACAATGACAACAGTGGGATACGGGGATGTTTATCCAGCTAAAGAAAACGCTGCAGGTTTAGTTGCAACAATAATTTCCCAGGTTCTTGGTACTATGATTTTTGCTTACGTGATCGGGATCCTAGTCGGGATCGTCACAAATCTTGACCCAGCAGAACGGCACCGAAAGGCAGAGAAAGGTTATCTTGCTGATTTTTTAACTGAGATTCGCGATATCTCACCCACCTCTGAGCTCCTTCTTCGCGTTCGTCGAAACCACGGGTACTGTCTGACTATGAACGGCGTCTTTGATGAGCAAGGAGTCATTGAGCTCCTCCCCCCACACGTACGAACCCCATCCATCATCTATGTATACCGTGGCACTCTTCCCTATCTTCCTTTTTTCTCTGCCATCGAGCGGCAGCACATGGGTGCAATCGCCATCATTTTGAATCGATTGAAATCTACAAGCTACTCAAATGGTCAAATTATTAATTCTGCTCGTATCGCAGCACGTGAGCTCCATTTTGTTGTGAAGGGATCTGTCTCTGTCATTTACACGAAGAACCCAAATAAAAAAGATGGAAAAGATGGAGGAAGTAAAGTCGATGAGATTTACGGCCCCCAGACCTATTTCGGTGATGCCATGCTACTGGTTCCTACCGGGACACAGTTTCGACTCAAAGTGCGCGTTACTTGCTCTAGCCGGTCATGCCATTGTTTTACATTAGTGAAGGATGATCACGAGACCATGCGAGGAGCGTACTCGCCCATTGTGCAAGCAATCGACGGCGAGTTCGATCACTCATTCATAAAAAGGTGGCTACGATTTTAAGCCAATAGCGCCGGGCCGCCCCGCTGTTCGCAAGCCCGAGTAGCCGCACCCCAGCATCGCACTCCGCGAGTAGCCTGCCCCCCAGGGAGCTGCTAGTCCACTACCGTGCACAGCCAGCTCATATAGTCGTGAAATTTCAAGTAGCAGGCAGATTCGCGCTAAAACTTACTTAAATAACTACAAAGGTAACTTCCCTCCGCCCTGACTCTCGGACTGGGGTATGGTAGTTGCTAGTGATGCTCGCCGCTCCGAACGCGGGAAACTCGACGCGTTCTAGTTTGGGGCCCGCCCACCCCCCCGGCGCCTGAGTAAAGCCCCCAGCTGCCGACCCAAAGATGTCGGGGGCGTTTCGGGTCCCTTGGGGTCCCCTCCAGCGCAGGGGGGGATTTCTGGGCGAGGTTCCGCCGGCGGCGGCGGCCCCGGGGCCCCGGGGCCTACTACTAGTAGAACAAACTAGAACGGTTCTAGTTCCAGTATAGGGCTCCGGGTGGTGGGAGCTTCTAGCCACGATGCGAGGCACAGTTACCGCGCCCGGCCTATCTGGAGAGGCCTCGGGGTGCGGGGGGGGTGATCGACACAACAGGGGGGGCGAGGGGGGCACAGTGGGCGCGCGACGGGCGGCCAGCGGGGCCGGCGGATCCAGCGGGATGCCAGTTTAGGGCTCGGAGTCCGAGTCGTCGTCCGAGGTAGTCATGTCAAGCCAGGCGCCCCCGGTCCCAGTGCTACCGGTCGGTCGCTCTGTGGCCGGGTTGCCATCTAATAGAACGCGTCGAGTTTCCCGCGGGCTTCGCCGCTCTGGCCTCCGGGCTAACGAGATAGTAAACTCCGACACGGGGGGGGCAGCCTAGTGGGGCTGCCCTGCCGTGTGAGGGTGAACCAGTGCCAAAAACAACGTACGCCTAGGCCGGCCCACTCGAATTAAATAAATAATAATTATTTATTGTTTCCCGCCGGCGGCGGGCGGGACGTGTACTACACCTCCTGAGAATTTGCCGCGCGCGCGCGCGCACGCGGGTCTAGCGCGGGCTGAAAGTCAACTTTTCGCGAAAAACGATCCTCACGCCCGAGTGTCTCAAAATGTACGAAGGTACCGCACTCACAACGCCAGTCTCGGCGAAATGACCCCACTTTCAAGCGGTTTACGACCCCCTAACTTCAACTTGTATGTTGAGCTTGGCAACTTTTTGTGTTGAACTTCAAGATACAAACCCCCAGGCCTTTCGTTTCAAGGGTTTGTTTTTGGCACTGGGGTGAACTATCGAGGTTACGCAGTGGCGGTACACCGGCGTCTCTGTTATCCTCACGTCACCTCAGCTGCCGTAGTATACGGGGGCTGGGGCTACTGGACGAACGGGCAGAGGACCTGCCTCACTAGGTCCAGGAAGACTCTCCGTCTATTACAGTGCGGGAAGCAGCTATAACAGGGTTAGAAAGTATTAAGAAAAGGGGAAGGATATAGGGCTGCCCTGTCGTGTGAGGGTGAACTATCGAGGTTAC